GGTCTCGCACTGTCGAAAGTAGGTGGTCGTTCCTGTGGCGATGGCATCAAACTGCTCCGTCAGCAGCCACGCTTCCCACAAAAGCGTTATTGCATTCAAAACGATCATGACCACCACCCAGAACTCCTCCCCTAACAATGTGAGCCACAGTGACAGACTGTGGGAGCCTGCGGGCACCTTGTCGTACAGGTAACTTATCGCCGAGGCGATGAAAAGGAAGTGGGCAATCACCATAGACAGGATGAAGAGGAGGAAGAGGCGGTGGTTGCCTCTGCCAATGCACCGGTTGAGGAAAAGGCAGTGATGGTCGTAGTCTTTGATGCACACCTCACACAGCTTGCAGTGTTTAGTGTGGTCAGGCTGAAACAGCTACGAGGAAAACAAACAAGGACAGAAACAAAGTTGTGAGAACAAATCCAACTTTTTGTAATATTTATTCCCAGAGTTAGAAAATGTGCATCTTTAACTTTACTGTTGACCCAAATCCTGAATTCTATAATACTATAATCACCAATTTCATGATTACTCCACTTATTTATAAACTGTAAACTCAGACCATCAATCTGTCAAACATCTCAATTACAGTTACAGTTACAGTGCTTTGATTTACAGAGAACCAGCATTATGGAATGCTTTGCCATTCTCATATTTTAAATTTAGAGTAGTTAAATGTTTGTTCTGCTCATTGCAATGTTTTCCTTGTGGGTTATCTTTCAATCCAGTCATCCTCATCATATTTACATATTTCTTGTACTGGCATACTGTACATCTGCCAGTGTGTAGATCTGTTTTGTTTTTTATTTGAATGATCTCAGCAGTTCCATTGGAGAATCCCCTGATCAAGGTCCTCTGAGGTTTTTTTGCAGCTCTCCATCCATTCTTCCCTTTTGTATGTGCATATACATTTGTATCTCATATGTACACCATAAAAAAAGCAAACTAGGGTTTTGTATTTCATTCCGTACCTTTCCTGTCTCTGATCACTGCCCTTTAATTTCCCGATAGGTAAATCAACTTGTCTTAATCACCATCAATATTTGATAATTGTTTTTTTAAACATACATTACAGCAGCCATTTATTAAGGGAACGATTGTGGGTTGGCCAGAAAGCCTGGACACATCATTTTTAGATCTAGACAGAAATACTGATAACAGGATGGCTAGATTATCAGATACATATTTAGATATGGGTGTAATGCAAAATATCAGTGCTCTCTGGACAATGACCAGTTGGAGTGTCTTACCTCACAGTACGGACAGAACCTGTGAGGGCTCTGGTTGTTCTCCACCAGGTCAGCTATACAGGAGAATCGAGGGTCTGCATCAGCTCTGTCCAGTGTTCCAGGGTCCTGGGTCAGAACCTTACAGAACAAACCGAGGACCAGGGAGAAGTGCATAATCGACATCTGGACAAGAGCACTGTTTGGCCACACACATTCAACAGGTTAAGGAAGAAGCTTTGTCATTTTAGACATAAATCATAGATTATGATGCACATGGCAAATAGGACAGCACAGGCCTGTTTTGAAAAGCTTGTACATATACACACACATCTTGTTTGGATGTGAGACTTGACCAAGAGATCAACCAACACTGAGATCCTTAAGTTGAAAGTAGAATTACATATAAAATATGCAGAATAGTAAAATTGGATATTGGGCGTTATTTTTCCAAAGAAGCAGAGCAGAGAATGGGACAAGCCAGCGATGAGGGTTCCTAGGTAGATCGGGTTGGGTAACCTGGAATGAGGAGAGATGTTCTCTTAACAAAGCATTCCCACAAACACTGAAGTACTGATTTGTTAATAATAATACATTTGAGAATTTCTGTCAAAACCTTTGGTAAGTGGTCATGCGGTGAAATTGTGTGAAGATACTTCTGGCCAGCCAGGGGAAGAGCAAACTGCAGATTAGACCCCCATAGCCTCCCAACATGGCTGCTATCAGCAGGATGGCAGCTCCACTCAGAGATGGAAATAACAGTGTCCAGTAATATAAAACTGTTGAGAAAAGACACATGACACAAATGTTCCAGCAGGTATACTCAACACACACTTTTAATGTGTCAGTGCCACTGTTATCATCTCCATTGTTGTTATCATTCTCCTTGTTTTTGTTGAAACAGAGTAATATTTACCAAGAGACTCTCTGGGCTTGTGGTGTATTGGCTCATTAAAGTGTTGACGCAGTACTTTGGTGAGTTGCTGATGTCTGGAGAAAAAGAAACAGTGTAGCCTTGTATTAATCAGCATCAAGATCCCTAGAGAAACCGGTCATCTGGAAATGAAAACATACTGTATAGTTTCAAGGTACTCAGTGTTACACTCCTATGCAGCGGTCTGCAAGTCAATGTTTTTTTTTTAAACAGATATTTCTACAGAAAGCAGATTCACCTGAACGTTTTCCCCTGTTTGCAGAGATCCAGTGGTGTGAGGCCGCTGTGATTCTTCAGATGGAGCATCCTGCAGCCTGTTCTCTGCAGCAGCATCCAGCACACCTCCGCTCCACCCCTCTCTGCTGCAACGTGAAGCGCTGTCGCTCCCTGCTGGTCAGCTGCATCCACAGCACATCTCTGGGACAAAAAACACAGGGTTGAATTGCATGACTGCTGAAAGATCTGTCACATCTGCACCATGTGCTGCTTTAAAAGAAAGTTTAACACCTTAACTGATCTTTGTCCCATTTCCAAGAACAGGAGATAAAATGATCTCTGAGTCCTCATATCCCTTCTGCTTACCAAGATAAACACTCAACACACAGGTGACAGCCACATACTAAAGAAACCTTAATCTTGTCAGGGAATTTGAGAGTAAAGACATCTTTTAACATTGTGTAGGACGGATAATATGCTTTACTGTGCTTTACATATGTTGTGCTTCATGTGGGGGTTGACTTGAGATTGCTCAGTCCCCTCTAGTTTACAATGTTTTACGTCATGTGTTGGGAGTTACCATCCTGTCACTCGTGCTCAGATAAGATTGGTCTTGGGAGAGAGGCTCCCCTCTTGAGAAGTTTATGAACATTGAGAAACTTAAAAATGACTTAAAGGAACCCAGACTTGTTATCTGCTCTGTTCTCATATGGTAAATGCTCCTTGGTACGTTTTGTTTTGCTGTTTGCATCTGAGCTGTACCAAGAATCTTCTCTGTTGACAGATCTGTGTCATAATAAACCTATAAGAGGCTCATTGAGTTAATTTGTTTATTCTTTAAAGGGAAGAGCATTCAATCATCTAAAAACAAATTTCATATGTCCTGGTTCAGGCTAAAAATGTTACATTATGGGTCAATTGGAGAGTCTTCACAATTAGAACCAAATCAATGAGCTAAAAGTGGCTAAAAGCAGGTACAAGTAGAGAAAAGTCACACTATGCATATAAAACTTCATCATACGTGGTCTCTGAGCAAGTAGCGGACGACCTCTGTGTTGCCTGTGGACGCAGCCAGGTGCAGGGGCGTCACCTTGTACATGTCGGTGTCTGAGAACCGAAACATTCCCGTCTCCCACAAATAGTGCACTGCAATACTGGGAGAGATAACAGTTAGTGTATACATGATATATTTGTATGCATATGACTGTTTGCACACAAAGGCAAAAAACAAGAAAACACCTCAAGACTCACATGCTGCCCCCAGTGACTGCGTGATGCAGGGACGTCTTTCCCTGTACATCTATGAGGCGTAAATCAGCTCCATACTGCATCATTTGGTGTATGATATAGATGTTACCTTGCCTGAAAAGTGTCAATAGTTCAACCTGTTATTACACAGGATCAAATAAAGATCAAAACGACATCATCACCTTGTGAATCCAGGAACATAACAGACCTACTTCTTACCTGCAGGCGAAATGAAAGGCTGTCTGTCCAGCATCACATGTCAGGTTGGGGTCAGCTCCGTTATTGAGGAACAGGTCGACCAGGACGCGGTTACCATGGAGGGCAGCGTAGTGGAGTGGGGTGAAACCACCCCAGCCTGGACAAAGATAACACATGCACGTCACAGTCAGGGTTAAAGATGCTGATCTGCGGCCACTGTGACTAACAACACCAGCCTGATGCAGATGCACAGTGAGTGTGTTGCGTGCTGATGGATAAAACCCAATGGAGTTGGGGTTAGGGTTCCCTGCTCTGGAAACAGTGTGACTTATTTGTGCGGTGTTGTCACAGGATCTGTCCTCCTAGATCTGTGTGACCATCTCACAGAGGAGATGCTGCAGGGTCAGGTTTCCTCTTAGCTATCAGACAAAATCACATCAGGAGACACTGGAGCATGGTAAAATGGTCCCTTTGAAATAAAATGATGTGAAATCACATTTGAGTGGTGTGCTGTAATATGTGCACAATTCATTTGTTATACTCTAAAGGTTTCCACATATGAGCATTACAGACTTATGACATAGGTTTTATGGGTTAGTTCTCTTAATGAAATGCATCTATCAGCAGTTTTCTGGCTTTGAAATCAAAATACCACGACAGTTGCAGGCGATGAGCAAAGCAGCACAATAGGAAGTGGTGGCCTGTAGTTTCACACACACGCTACAGATAACACAGCAACATACACAAGAGGAACACGTGACTTTTTAATCCTGATTTATTCTGCTTTACCTTTCTGCCTGAGGACCGATCGATCGTTTTGAACGAAGAGCACGCACTGATCGACATCCCCCCTCTGGATGCAGTCGAACACGTCTGCATCGCTGAAGCAGCTCACGGGGATCGGATGCATCGTGAGGGTTTGGACGGAGGCGACCTGCTGCTGAATCCTCTGAGCTGCGGACTTGAAGCGGGAACCCAACTCAGCTCCTCGCAGGAAACGACAACTACAACAACATCATCATCTTAATGTCAAGTGAGCAGCGAGGTAACGGGATCCTTCATTGTGATGAACTGATTGAGGCTGACCACGCCCTGGGCACCTCATTGGCCAGAGGTGGACGCGTGACTCGTGACGTCAGCGCGTAGACAAACCACGTCCCTTCAAGAATCTGAAAACGTCAATTAGCGGTGTCACACTGAAAAGAGACGTATTTAACCAAACAATTGATTATGAATCGCTATTTATACAAAGATATACGAGGGATGAGAATTCATTCCTGTCTAGAATGAGTATTTTGTTCACGTCCGAGGGAAAGAGCGTCAAATTATGTGATTGTTCTCGTCATCACCGTCGTTTGCAGGTTTGACGCAGAGGTCATGAGGCAGCGTGTTAGCCACACATGCTAACACAGGCTAACACATGCTGTAAATGTGAGTAAACAAAGTCAAAGCACACGAGTGAAGAGTAACGTCCCTGAACAACACGGGGGGGCAGTGACATGGTTTGAAAATGGAGGAATAGTTCGCCATGGAGGTCGTGAGACAGCAGGTGAATCCAACAGGTGGAGGTATCAATGTTCATTTGTGACACACACATTATCTATTTTCAAAGTCTGTGTAATCCTTGCACTGTGTTTCTTCTGACTTCATATTAGGACTGGACAAGACAATAATATCAATAATTACCCCATCAAGGTTTAATATATACATACCTCAATATTTGCTTATGCATTGTACAAGCATGTTGAGGAGGTATAATATATATAATTGGAATGTCTGTCCTCAGTGTTGTACAATGTTTTCTGTTTATCATTCTCTGCCCAGATAGAAGAGTTTTAAAACCTTCACTCAGGAGCAATAATCATTCTTTAAACTTAAATCCTCAGGAATTTGATATTTATTGCAATTATTATAAATATCGACTGCAATTCATTTGATCTGAAATGTTATCACGAGGACACTTTTGGCCATGTTTCCCAGCCCTCCTTCACATTGGGCGATGATAGTTTCATTCAGTGTCCAAATGAGCCAGAGAAACAGAGAAAACCAGTTAACAAATGACTATCATTAATAATGGCTGCATAATTGATGGTTAAACCTGCTGTTTTATTGGGATTAAACCCTCAGGAAATAAAAAAGCCTATGTTCACTATAAGCATTTTTTTGCCCTTAATATCTCAATAGCCATTGAAAAGTTGCCATTCAGTGGAAGATTTGACTTTCATCAGTTGTATTGCTGCCCTATATATATTAAACTTGTGCAAAGAACTGTATCGATTACAATGCAGTGCACAAGGTAAAATAATGTGGTCATAAAGATGATTGCTTTATATTTTTAATATGTAACTCATCAGGTTAATTACAGTCTCGATCCAAATATAAAAATGACCCATTAGACTTAATAATTGTATTGCAATTTTAGAAAGACGTACTTTTATTATTACCACAGACATAAAAGTAAGTGTGTGCAAGTTATGAGTATTTGATAAAGCAATATAAACTTAGTAATACAGCTTTAAGAGACCTTAATTATGTCCCCTCCCCAGTGGTTCCAGTTGGGATAAGGCTCGGTTCAAATTGAGGTTTAAGAGGAAACAAATTCTTGACCATAGGAAACTTCACACAAAATATCTTTTTCTGTGCTATCAAACCCCACTAGATGGTGCTATTTAGCTAAATTATGCTGGCACTGCTGAGATTTTCTGTCACTAATCCAAGCAGTGGATTCCTTTTCTCCATGCAGCTGCTTTACTCATTCAAACTACAGCAACACACTCCTTGTGATGGAAGGCCCAACATGTGAAACAAATGTGAAGAAAAAAATCTGACCTTATTTTTACAACAAAACCAAATGATTTGCATCAACGTATATTCTTTCAGTCACTTATTTATTTATTCTGGCTTCTTTTAATCATTAGATCCACTCCCTCAGATCTATATCATGCCAGTTTTACACGACACATCTATAAAGGGCTTCTTCCTTGAGCGACAGTGGGAGGGCCCCATCCAACCAGCTAAACAACAGTTTTTCACTTCTGCTTCTCTAAGGAAGTGAGGAGGCACATGACCCGGGCCAGCTGATGTGAGTTGCTCTGCTTGTTCAAAGTTCAGTCTGCTGGTTGCAGATTAGTAGGAGGCGGCTAGTTTTACAGAAGTGTCCGCACTGTAGTCGCTGGTCATGTCTTAGCAGGTCTCTGCTTGTCTTTTTCCTCTTCATATGGTAAGACAGACCGCAGTTGTAAAAACAACACAGATGACAGCGTGAGGAAACAGAGTGAGGAAACTCCCAGATGGCTCTCACACAAGTACAGGTAGGAACATGAAGACTTAACTGTAAGCTACATGAACTATTTTGCTTTGGGAAATTGACTGTCTCAGTGTTACTGTACCGGCGATAATAATATTAATTTTCATTTTGACATAATCAACTGTATGACATAATAGAGATATGTGCTGCTTTACAACTAAGGAATGACTTGTGATTCTCTCATGCCTCTTGCTGCCGGTCTCTCACTCACGCTCATTTCACACAGGAGAGCCTGACTAGGTCTTCTGTTACTGTAACATCATAACTAATTAACTGTAATGATGAAACAAGCTTTAGTCTCACAGAGAAATGCCATATACTTGCATTAGCAGCCTTCTGTGTCAATCACTTCAAACCACAGAGGAATTACATCACCACTTTCAAAACTTTGTCGAGAGATTTTGGGGATAATACTGAGCGGACCTGGACATTAAAGGGTTTTATCAGTGTCACATCTATTTGATTTAGAAAAAACTAAATATACTCATTTGCTGTCTTCTGCATATGTGCACCTCCTTTTACCTTTTTATTGTTTGAATGTCCTCTTCAGGCCGGTTTTAAGTATTAGGGCAGTTAGTTTTGGTTTTCTTAATGGTTGCCTGCACATGTCCCCCTAGTTTTTTGTGTGGCGTATGCATGTTCTCCCCCGTGTCAGTGTTGGCACATGGGTTTTTTCTGGGTACTCCAGCTTCCTCTCACAGTCCAAAGACATGTGCAGGTTGACTGTACAGTCTAAATTCTCTGTTAATGTGAATGGTTGATTGCCTCTATATGTTGGTCTATGCAATACACTGGCGACCTGTCCAGGGTGTACACCGCCTTTTGCCAAATGTCAGCGAGGAACTGGAAATGTCTGAGAATAAGTGGTATAGATAATAGATTGATGAATTTAATACTGCTCTGGATAAAATAAAATAGTATAACTACATGTGGTAAATTAATTCAATGCAGTGCTTGAAAAGACATCTGGGGTTTCAACTTTCAAAAATGAAACTCGCTGGCTTAATGTCCTTCCAATTACTGAAAATTGGCCTTCAATTATACTGACGGACCTCACAAGAGGTTGTGAGTTAATGAAAGAGGCACATGACTTCCAGTGACCTGTTTTTGTGTGCTCAGTGGGTAAAGGACGAGTACAGAGGGTTTGATTTGACTAATTTCTCTGAGGAAGTGAGACAAACCTAGGAAAAAAAGACAGTGGGTGTATTATATAAACTCAGGATGTCTAAAAATAGAAAAAGTTAAATAAACAGTTTAATTTTCAGCTCTCTTTTGTTCTGCTCCAGGACCAGACTGTCAAAGGGGAGAGAATCAATAAGGAAACCGGCGAGCTGAGTGCTTCAGGGGAGTTGTCTGTCTCTGTGGAGTTGAAGGAGCAGAAAGTAGAAGGCTCCTGTAGGAACCTTCAACTGCCACAAGAGCTCAGACAGCAAATACAGGAACTTGGAGGTTACACATGCTCCAGCCTCGACCACCGAACTGACCATGTTCCTTTAGAGCAAAGAGAGGAGCTGCTAGTCAAAGTCCTGCCTCTCTACATACAGGTACGGACCACTGGGACAAGATTATCTCTCATTGTTCATCCACTCAGCATTTTCACTTATATTTTGCAGTTCATCAATCAACGAAGGCGGTTGTTTCGTTTCTTTTCTTTTGCAAACATTTTAAAGCAAATAAATGGAGACTATCAACTAGCAAAATATTAATTGATTATCTCAATTTAAAGTGAAACCACAGTTTTAATTAAAACCCAACCATGAAAAGGTTAAATGGATGCCTCAGGCTCTGTGATTTCAGAAACTGTTCCGGGCTATTTGAATGAACAGTTAAATTAGCCATAAGTTGCAGTCAGATGTTTGGGCCTCAGCTGATCCCATCACTGCTGTGTCCCCTGAATTAATTGTGTATGTGGTTTTTCAGTAAATCTATACAGTTTATGGACTATCACATGAAATACCAAGGGGCTCCAGATCCATAGCTCTAGGCCTCATGTTGATTGTCAGTGCCTGAACTGCCTCACAGTTATGAAGACACCTCCCCATGCACACATACTGTGTAAATTCCATCACTGATCTGTGAGTATGTGTGTAACACCATTGATCAGGCTTACAGCTGCAGACGTAATCGCTCTTTGGTTTGTGTGCAGTTCTGTGTGTGTCTATACGGATAAGCCCCATGACCAGAGATTTGACCAGAACATAGGGCCTCACTTAAGAATAGCAAACTCAGTGAAATGCGATATCCTCTTATAGAACTGAATAGAGCATATAGTATGCACTGGCTTCTATTATTTATAGTGGAGTGCATTAGCAACAGCACTTGAGTTCAAACCATAATGTGGTTACATTGGTACACTGAATATCATAATGCATAGGTATAGTACCTGGAGGGTAAAGTCCAGAAAAGGGTTAGGGTTTAGACATACCCTAATACATGGAAGGAAAAAATGACATTTTATTTAATTTCATGTAACATTACAAAAATGAGGGTGGACAAAAATGCCTCAATATAACTCTAACTTTTCAGTATTTTAAAAGATTTTCAATAAAGATATCAACATCTGTGTTATATTAACCTTTGGGAACAGAAGTTTGTTTTTTTAGTATCTTTGCTTGATGGACTCTCTCTCCTCTGATCCCAGGTCTGTGAGGATGGTGGCAGACTTGAAGTTCTGGATGTCAAGGGGCTTGCAGCTCTCACTGCTGACACGGTCATCCTCAACATCCACAGCAGACTCAGAGATCGGCCTGCAGGTGCGAACTGCTCACATAAGCAAATACAGCACGGTTATTTCCATATATGCAGAGGGACTTTCTATTCCCCTCTATGTGCTGTGGTGCTTTTCCAGTGTGTTTTCTTCCTGTTGTAAATGTCACTCATGTATTTTGAAAAGAATTGAACCCTAATAAGAACACTAGGCCACCCTCAATACTTTAGATTAATATGCTGTTTTCTATTCTAGTTGAACACTAGTTTACTTGACTTGAGTATGTATTTAGATTTTGATGGTTTCTGTGACAGTAGATGATAAAGAGAAGCAGCCGTAGTATGTAGTTGTCTTGTTGTCTTTGTCTGTGACCCCCCAGTCTTCTGCAGTCATGGCTCAGTGAATGTTGAGTATTTTGTGCTTTCAGAGGGGGCTCGTGAAGAGGTGGTGCGGTTCTTCCAGAGGCTGGACGAGAACAGAAAGTGTGAAATAGGAGAAAGTCTGGGCTGGCTCCTGTTAAAGTCCCTTTTGCTGCTGACAGCTGACAGCTCAGTGAGTTATACGTAATAGTTAGTTTTAAATGTTAGGTCTCTACACAATATGTCAACAATCCAAAAACTGGGACAACATGGCTTATTATTCGTATTATACGTTTAAGGATTCTTTTTAGATAAAGACTTGATCTCCTGAATTTATTTCACTTAAGATTATAATGCCTCAATGTAAACTGTGTTTATGTGTTTTTTTTTCTGAAGGATATATTGTCCTGTATAAATCCAGGGCTCCCTGTTGCTTTGGTGAAATGTCTGTACCTGCTAGTGTGCCTGCCAGCCAAAAAGGGGAACACGGCCATAGAAGACACATTTCAGGAGCCGCTAACCCAGGTCGTTTGAGGCAACATCCTCATTTTAAATTTACATTCGTTTACTCTTTTCATCCACATCATGCATGTTCACCTTGTCTATACTCTCTACTGCCTCAATTGTTCTCCATTGGATTTTAGCTTCACTCTCCACTTCTTCCCCCTGCTCTTTTCCAGGTTCTCCTCCAGCTCTGTCGACAGCCAGTCAATGTGGTGACACTAGTGGAAACTCAGGAACTGCAGTGTCTCATCATTGGCCTCACATCCCTATGGGATCAGACCAGCGCCGCCTGGAGGCACCAAGCCTCCCGCGTCCTTAAGGCAGTCTCTGCTGCTGCAACAAGCAACACTGTCTCAAGCTTGCAAGGTAAAGTGAATGAAATCTATTAGGACAAGTGTCATCTCTGTTGAGCTCATAGCCTTTTAATAGCTCTGCTTACTGTAATACTGTGGTTCTCAAACTGGGGTGCAGATCAGAAACTAAGTTGAATGATTATGATTCATGTAGAGAGAACAAACAAACTGAACTTAACTAAATTCATATTAAATCATTTAGAGCTTCTGAAGGCTGGCATGGCAGAATAAACTCTGTGACACTAATGGAACTGAACACATAAAAAACATTTGAAAACATTTTTTACAGAAAGTGGATAATTAGATTTTATTTGCATTTATTTTTGTCAGAGAGCTATTTTTATTTCAGTGGATGATTATACATAGACACATGATCACACACCCAAGTATAGATGCTCTGCAAGTATGTTTCACATGATGCATCCGTGAGTAGATGATTCACTCAAATGATTCACTCAGATGTGCTGTTACTTTGATTTATTTTGGACATCAATTATCAGCATTTTCCAGCATGATATTTTCTTCACGTGACTGTAGCTCCTTCCTACATTAGTCATATTGAATGAATATACATACTCTAATTTTTCCCTTTACGGTTTTTCAAAAGATGGACATTACTTATTTGTGATCCATTGCTTGAATTGGAAACTTTGAATGTGTTGACTCTGTTCTAATGTGCTGTACATCTCACAGCAATAACGACTTCACTTACCAAGAACGCTGGCTTTTTCAAATTAGGCAAGAACTGTGTGCGGATCTGCATCCAGAATCTGCTTCATATCGGTGCTGACGTCTCTGGACCGCTGCTCGCTGAAGTGGCTGTAGCGGTGTTTAGCTTCATTAGAGACACCTATCCCATCAATGCCGCTCTCTTCACTGAGTTTGACACCAACAGCGGCTACCAGGCCCTTGAGAACATCCTCACACGGTAAGACAAAAGGGCATAAACAGAACACTAATGAAACACTATGTGAGTTGAGGATTAGATGTAAAGGAATCTGTCAAAAAGGGACAAACTTGTTTAAAGATGTGAAAAGACATCAAAAGAATTCGATTTTGATCTACTTTTTAAAGGTTAAGGTAAATAGACATTCTGAGAAATTAAATGTGTTTTGCTCTTAGTCAGTAAAAAGACATCACTTACCTTTACCTTATGTCTTTTATCATGATACCATCATAAGCTGTGAGGAGGGTGTGTCCGAGGATCATTTTCAGCCTGTGGAGGAGTTGCTGGCTCTCATTGCATCTTTCACTCTGCTCGGAAAAACAGAGCTAAAAGTGGCTCTTTGTGTCACCAACCCCCAGCCTCCGGGCTTCAAGTTTGATCCAGCACTTACCAAAGGTAGGTCAAGTTTTCAACACAAGATCTGCATTGTTATTCTCTGGCTATTACCCCCTAATTAGCTCTAACGGTTTATTGTACCATGAGGATAAACTCTCAACCATCCCCTCCAAATGCACACTCCAAACCATCTAATTATTATCTTTGCATGGCTCAGCAAAGATGGGGGCGTGGGGAGGGGGATGTGCCCCCCAAATGACCACACAGTTCATCCCTCCTTTGCACTTTAGCCCTCACATAAACCACCTAAAAGTGCACCACCCCCTTTTCCCTTTCTTTGATTTCCCACACACCCCGACTCCTCACTCCCGCATCGCTACCCCGCTGCAGTGCACAACGCCCCTCACGTTAACAGGAAGCTGAGGTGATTATGTCTAGGATGATGAAGTGGAGGCTTCCCCTCTAACTCTGTTAGGATGCCCCACATCCATTCACCACTGGCCTACAGCAACCAGCCATCTATCATAGGTGCACACACACCTCCATCCAACACTCATAAATAGAGTGTCCATAATAAACACATACGTACCTATCCAAACATACAGAGGATGCATCTATCACACTGAGGAGTAGATGTCATTCCAGACGAGGGTCGGGGGATAGTTTTGTACTGATCTTATTTGAATTAAATGCAATTTTGATTAAGCGTGAAAATGAATCCTTTCCCTAACCAAGTATATATTCATGTTTACGACAAACACAAGTGAGTTTTGGTTTTCAAATCTAAGACCTTCTCTAAATATTTTGACAATACAGCAAACAAACTCTATCAAGGCAGATTATGCGACCTTTTCTGTCCTTTCATGCATGTTATGTTGTTTGTTCAATCTATCTATGTATGTGTAACTCAATTGACTTATGGGATTCAGCATGTGCTGTGTGTTAAAGGTTGTTTGTAATTTATCAGGTTTCCTCTTTCTATGAAATTGACTGACTGGCCTTGCCCGAGCAAAATCTGATAAAATCAAGCTTAACATTCAAAACATCTTTTAGCTAAATTGACCTCAAGCTGACTAAAACAAGAATACATCCTCCAAAAAGTTAAGCAACTACAACTAATACTGACATTATTTTATTCAATCTGACCTGTTTTAAATAACTGAAACCTCTGTTTCTAGGTTTAGCAGTAAAGAACCTGAAGGCCTTCCAGCTGCTGCAGGCCTCCTTGCTGCGTTCCCACGATTCTCTGATGAGCTGCCAGCTTCTTCGAACCCTGCAGACAATTTGGGAGAGGGATCCGGCCAATTTCTTTCTCTTGGAGTGGACTGTCCAGTCGATGGCTCAGGTGGCTGCCTGTGTGTGGCGTAAACCAGCACCTGCCCAAAAACTTTTCTTTTCACTGCTGGAGATGGTATGATTTCTACAGTTGACAGTAAAGCTCAAGCATGTGTTGTTTCTTTGATACATCATGTGTATGAGGTCTGATTAAATGCTGGGTTTCCTTCCTTCCTTCCTTTTCGACAGGTGGTATTTAAGTTGAACTACATTCCCCATGAGGCCTTACGTGCACTACTTGGTGTGCTGAAGCAGATTTGGGCTGGGGCTCTGGCTGGAGGGGTGGTGGGAACAGTGTTTGGAGTGGTTGCTCTTAAATGCTTTCATAGGTGAGCCGTGTTTGAGGATATTCTTGCTCCTACACCAAATACCTTTTTGTCCCTTGATGTATGTTGAATAAGATCCATCTCCTGCTCTCTAGGATGACATTGCACAGTGGTATGCTAGGTGAAGTGTTGAGTGACTGGGGTCTTCTAGAGCTGCTGCTCGGGGAACTTCGTAGGAGAGCTAAGATCCTCAGGAAGGCTGGAGTTGTGTCCTCCTCTCAAATAAGTATGAATCAACATTATCACAATTGTACAGTTACTAACAAACAACCCATTATCATTCAATTGAACGCAGGATGATTGAGTACTTATGGTTTTAATTTCTAAATGAAATCCTTTTGACAGTGTCTGGAAAACGTCTTGTGATGTTGTGCTCTTTAGATCCCCAGACAGTGCCATCTGTGGAAGACCGTGAGAGATTGCTCACTACCTGTATGCTTCAAGTTGTGTCAACACTTACTTTGCGTTCAATTAAAAACACAGGTACATGCACTTCATTTCATCTCCATTGTCCATGCTCTGTCACTTCTCTTAAGCTTATGTTCAGGCAAAAAACACTGTTGTATACTTACGTTTTTTTGCATGTTTATTCCAGTGTCAGTGCGAGACCTTGGGATGGTTCCCTACATAAAGATCTTCTTGGATGAAGATCAGTATCGAGGTCCCACTCTGAGTATTTTGGAGCAGCTAGCTGAGATAAACCCAGAAGAGTTCATGAGTACAGCCATAGGAGCCATCTGCTCCTCAACACAGCAGGAACTCAGGTTGAAGTGGGACCTTTTGCAGGTACTTGAATTTTTCATGCACTCAAAGTAGTAGACGGCGGCTTACAAACATCCAGAAACACAAGTGATCTCAGCTGAACTGAGAATGAAGTCTCCACTCTACATCAAACCATAACCAATTGTAATGCACTTAAAACATAATAAGCTAGTGAATTTATTTTCTTAGCATGTGGGACCCTGATTACATTTCAGATAAATGCAGATTGATTTGCTAAAACAGGTTTAGCTGTTAACTCTAGGCCAATTTGATTAGGCCAGCAGCTTTGTGCTGTGGCACTATGAAGATTACCACCTCTATCGGATCAGTGAATGGGACAGAGATCTAATTAAGCTTAACTAAGTTACACACCTACTGTATGTGTCCATTTTTATAGATGGCAGCAAGAGGAGCACTTGCAGATATTGTGTGTATTCAATGTGGGTGAGTGCTTGAGATTGCTTGTTTGTGCAATGTGCATGCATGCAGAAGTGTGTGTGTGTCTCTGTGTGTGTCTGTTCTTTGTGCTAACATGGTTAAGGCAAGTGGCAATCAGATTGGGTACGACCTGGGTTGGCAAGTGTTGAGAGCCATTGTGATTACTCCAGTTTCAGTTAATCACATTTCCCTCTGCGTTCTGCCTCACACATTACCTACCTGATGGATTAGCTCTTTAAATTGAATAAAACTAATGTTATTTTGTTCACCTCCAAAAACTAGTTACCAAAAATGATTTATGATATATCTGTGTGTTTCATCTATTTTTCATGACATTGTTTTAATTGACTAGAGAGGTGTTTTTAGCTGGGAGCAAAAGCAAAGTATCAAAATATCAAAAATCAAAATACTTCACAATACATTTACTTTCAACTATAGTAAAAAGAACCTTCTTTGTCGAATGTATGATTGGTTTGAGCATATTTGTTGATTCCACATGTCACTGTTTATGTGACTCCCCTCTTATGTATTTCAGTCTGTGCTGAAGGTCCTGGAGAGTCCCAACAGCTGGGACGCCTTCAGGAGAGCAGGAGGCTTCACCGGACTGCTGTCTCTGGTGATTGACATGGATGGAGCTCTGTCTGACCCTCCACAAGGAGAAGTGTGGAAGTCCTTGGGGCATCAAAAGCTGCTGGACCTCCTCCTCCTTGCTTTTCACATCATCGCCTTGGCTGTGCATCTTCACACAGTGAATGCACACCATTTTGAGACTGGCGGCTTTTATGAAAGGCTGGCAGATGCTCTGCTCCAGCTCGGCTGCTTCCACACTGAAAGCCCCAAGAAAGAGACCTGGGATGCTGAGCAGGGCCCCTGTCCTGAGACTGCAGGGGACAGTCGGGCTCCTGGAAAGAGCTTCCACCAGTTTGTTGATTTGGCAGAAGCTGCTGAAGCTCCCTCCTCTAACTCCACCACACTGCAGCACAATCTGCCTGTTACTCTTCGGATCTGTATAAAGCTGCTTTCGTTTCTTGACCAGTTTGCAGCAGGTGCCTTCTCTTCTCAAGAATTAAACTTGGGACTAGAGCCCGAGAGTGGGTCTGATGTAGATAAAGAGAAACTAAATAGACCAGCAGGATACGAAGTTGTGTGTTCAGGGTCCCCCCCTGCCCGTGCAGGATCAAGCCCACAGTCAGTGGTGGACACACAGGGAGGAACCAGGAGCACAGCTTCAAGTATTTCTACAGTCTGCACAGAGTCTCACTCCAGGTGGATATATGTAACCATTTGAAGGGGATTGAAAACTCAGGCATATTAATTGATTTTCTCGACTCTCAAATCTAAATTGTAGTTTTGTTGGAGAGTCTTATAAGTTATTTTATAAATATAAACCCATATTTTTCTTGTTTTTTGCTTGGCCCACAGTAGGTTCACTCGTGATCATGTTATTCTTCATCCAGGAGCAGTCAGAGTTATGATGACTCTCCTTCCTGCAGTGTTTACTCCCCAGGACCCACAGGTACATTTCTAGACTGAACATGTTACAGTCCCTTATGTTGCATAATATTTTCTACACAATAGAGCCACAGCTAACTTTGTTTCCCTCTTCCCCAGCTCTCTATGGAGATCCAGGTTTCATTGGCAAACCATGTCCAGGCCATGGTCAAACCTGAGCGAAACCGGCAGATAATGTGCGAGGGCGGGCTGTTGTCCACGCTCCTGGTCCACTGTCAGAGCATGTTGTTGATTCCAAACCACCCGTTACATCTACCTATTACACGTATCTTGGAAAAGCTCTCCTCCCAGTCCATCACACATTCAGACTTCAGGTCAGACATACACTGTCTCTGATGTTTGAACACATGCATTTTCTTTATTGGAATGCAATTCCTTCTCAATATTTACTCTGGCAAGATCTGACATGCTCTTTTTTCCCTCCTCAGAAAGTTCCTGTGTTTAGGAGACCCTCTTATGTGCTTGGCAGACAAAACAGCAACGCAAACACAGCAAGCTCCTGCATTAAATGGTAATCAATTGTTTTGTGACAATGACTACATTCATGGTCTTTGTAACATTTTATTGAATCCACATCAATTTGGTCTTAGAAACAGAGACAGATGGTGCAGCAGGATCTTCAGTAAAGACTCTGAAGCGGACCTTCAGCTTGTTGCAGTCTACAGCTCACAGTGAATCCACAGTTGGTTCTTCAATCCCCGTCCATCAGATCATTAGTCTGGTATCCATGACATCACCGCGCACCTTCAGACCACACAGAGTCTCCTCCTCACCTGCCTTTGTAGAGTTTGACATGAGTGAGAGTGGATATGGGTGAGTCTTGTTTTACTGGGTTTTTGTGTTTCCCTGCAATTGGACTTGTGACTAAATAACTTTTGCAGTACCAATAAGTAATGCTAATCAAGTGTAAATATAAGAACATCAGTAATTCACTAATTTGCTGGTATGTGATGGTGTGCTTCGCAGCTGTCTCTTCCTTCCCTCTCTGGCTACAGTGAAAGGAGTGACTGCTGATTCAATTTCAACAGGTGGAATTGGAGGAGGTAAGTAATTATTCTAAATAAGTGATAGTGTCATATTTGTTAATAAATCTTAATACAATCCCACATCCTCCCCCTTTCATGTTTTAGACTGCAGGGGTTTTCCACCTATAGCTGGTCTCTCGTTTTCCTGCTGGTTCCAGATCAACAGGTTCAGTTCAGCCTGTGATTCACACCCAATCCGTCTGTTGTCAGTGGTTCGCCACATGTCCCGGACTGAACAACAGTACATCTGCCTGTCAATCTCCTTCTCAGCCTATGATGGCTGTCTGGTAATTTCCACGGAGGAGGAGGCATTTACATTCCTGGGTAAGAGCTGTAAAAGTTCAGCCAGTATTTGCCAATTGTGAATATAGCATAACATTTATTGATTATTCCGATTTTTTTTCTAGCCATCCTCATCAACTGTCAGCTACTTTTTCCATTCTGTTCTTATAATACAATTGTTAAACACGTGATTTATACAGCAAAGTGATGTTTGAATGTCTTCCTCCATGTCTGTTATGTTAGATATGATGGAGCCAGAAGTTTGCACTCCCACTTCTTTGCCTGCATCACTGAGGCTGCGCTGCTCCAGCATGCTGGTCCCAGGTCAGTGGCACCATCTGGCTGTGGTCATGTCCAAAGACGTGAAGAAGAGCTGTATGACCTCAGCATACTTCAATGGCAAGGCGTTGGGGACAGGAAAGGTATGAGGAGCTGATGATAAAAGTGATTCCAGGTGTAATGTGGTAGTTACATATTCATGTATCATACACACTTCCATGTTCAGAAGAAGTAATGCCTGTGCATTCTCTGTCAGATGAGGTATATTCAGCCTTTCCCTGGTCAGTGTGTCTCCATGGACCCGACAGCTGTGGTTGATGTGTACGGACTGATAGGAACACCAGCTCTCTGGAAGGAACATGCGGCTCTTGTGTGGCGAGTGGGTCCTTCTTACCTTTTTGAAGAGGTTTTGAGTCCGGAGGCAGTGGGTGTCATATACACCCAAGGCACTGCCTATCTAGGCAACTTTCTGGCTCTGCGTAACACAGGTGAGTTAGGAGAGTATTTCTCATTTATTTTTAAGTCGTCATGGATAAGGGCCTTTGAGGTGTATAGAATCAATAAGATCTGGTCATGGTAAAAGATAACATTTCTCTTTAGATTCTTTATGGACGTTCTTTGTATTATTTACTATTTCTTCCCCCCTTGCTGTGTCATGCAGGTAATTATGTTGTCACGGTGCTTTGCATGCTCGCATTAGTTTCTCTGCAGAACAGACAATGCGCTTCAATATAGAAGCATAGTACTCACACTGAGACAGTCAAAAGTTACTGACATGACACTTTTCTCTAGTTAAAACATTGATTTCATGTTCATGGAAAGACAGAGTTCCTCTTCTTTAGCCTCATTGTTTTAACTTTTCTGATAAGTGTTTTCTTACCTCTGTATTTGTTTCCAGGTGATCAGCCAGAGTCTCTCCCTCTCAGGCTGGTTCCTGAGGAAAGGATTTCATTTGGTATCAACCCAGCAATTTCTACATTAACGACTGTTGTACAGATCAGAGAGGATTACAATGAGGTGGACTGCAGACTGATTGCTAAAGAGGTAAGGTGCCACTTAGAACCGATGTGTATGTTGTTTTCACACAGAGTAGCAATCAGTGTGTCAAATTACAGATGGGGATAACTTCTCGTGATCACTCCACGCCTGTGTTCCTTGCACGAAACATCAGCCAGCACCTGAGTGGTACAGCTCGCACCATAGGAGCAGCGCTGGTTGGACATTTTGGTAATAATATTTTAAAAGCTTATTTCTGCTTTAATTGATTCTTTGAGGCACATTTTCTGAACTCCTGGCTTCTTCCCTCTAGGTGTGCGTACATTCACTCCTCGCAGTGCACCTAATGCTTTCCTGTATGTTGGTGGGCCTGCAGTTGTTCTCACTCTTGTTGCAATGGCTCCAGATGACAGCTCTTTGTATGCAACTGTTAAAGTTCTGCTTTCTGTGCTGGAGACCAACTCTGCCATGCAAGAGGAAATGAAACGCATCAACGGATACAAGGTCTGCTGAATTATGCTTAAAGTCACTGGAATGGTTACACATTGCGTATAAACACAACAAAAACAACTCTGCTCTTTACCTGTAATTATCTCTCATTGTAGCTGTTAGCTTTCCTGCTGAAGATGAAGAGAAGTCTGGTCAGCAACAGAACCCTTCAGTTGGTTCTGTATCTTGCAAATTCAGTGGAGCTGAGCTCTGAATCTGGTTGCCTACAAAACACACCTGCTTTCCAAGCGCTGCTGTGTGACCTCGAGGTAAGCATCAAAGTCTTTGCAGAAACATTCAGTGGATTTAGGGAGATGGGATATTCTTGTCCAGCCAGTATTTATTTGGAAATATTTAAATTGCTTTTGGAAGCTGATAGTTTGTTTCTTTTTCATTGCTCCGTGTTTTCAGGTGTGGCAGAACACATCTGAGAATTTGGACCTTTTAGTTCTGAACCACTTAACTGAGATCCTGAAATCCTCAAGGTAAAGTCATCCGAAGTGATCAGCGTGTGAAAAGTTCACAGATAATATGTTGTAGCTTTAATCCAATTCATTTTTAACTCACATGGCTAAAAAGTTACGTAACACAATAAAGAGGCCTTTGTTTGGGAGTGACGACACACTTCATCGGCTGTTCTGTCAAAATCTGCAGCGGTCTGTCATCAATATCACAGAAATGTTCAACAGAATCAGTCACAGAGGCTGAGGAGAGGAGCATGACTGAACATGTGCATGGATTCCTGAATTAGATTATCTGTCTGTGGGAACAGACTGTGATTGATATTAATGCTCTCTCTGTTTTTCTCGCTATCCTCAACAGTGACAGCAAGAGTGCTGAGGTCATGCACTCTATAGGCCTGCTACCAAAGCTGCTCTTTGAGCTGTCTGATCCCAATGTAAACTTTCGGAAGGTTGCGGTCATTTCCAGTGTTATTTCATCCCTCCTAAAAGCTCACTTCACCCCCCTGGACATGAGCAGGTACAGTCTTGGAATATATCCTGTGTGTACGTGCACAAGTTCTCCTGTTATACTGTTTTAACATAAAAATATCAGATCCATTAAGTAGTTAGGAACAGCTCTATATTTATAATGTGTCTTTATAATGTTTGTCAGACTTGGGCTCTTCCTGGTCTACACACTGCCTCCACTTAGTGACAAGACTGAAGACATGGAGATATCTGACAGTGATCTTTCCCTGGAAACACCAGGTACACACATGGTAGACCACACACAACCCCGACTTATACAATGTCTTACATGACTCATGAATGACATGTCCTGTCTGTGCTGTAGCTCAGAGCACTGGTCCAGCCAGCCTCATCTGGATCCGCAACCAGCTGTTACTGGTACTTTGTGAAATCCTCGACTCAGACAGCCTTCTAACCAAAGAGTGAGTATCTTCTGTCACAGTTTATTTTCAAAACTGGAACAAAAACCCATTTTCCCAGTTTTTCATGTGCCATAATACCATGCCAGAAGCACTAACTGAATTAGTCTGTTATGTCTTATTCCACACTAGTCAGCAGAAACAAGCGTTTGATTCCCTGGGCAGTGATTGGTTCCTGCTCTTCCTTCAGCCCCATCTTCACCCTTCTACCTTGAAACTGGGTCTCGTCTTGCTCACACACTTTCTTTTCAATCCGGACCAGCAGAGCAACTTCAGAGAAAGCGTGCTCCCAGGAGCACTCATTAAAGGCATGGCAGAACCCGTTACCGTCATGGGTAAGGTTGGATAATTCCTCATAATGAAGCAGAAAACTGATTAGATATAATTTTGCTACTTTCAGTG